CATTTCTCTTTTGATGACTCTTTTGGCTATTTCCATTCTGAACACCTCCTGACTATCTTTTTTGCCCAGATGTCCACGCCCCCTGGCAGCAATGACGGCCAACCCTACCGAGCACTTACTCTATGCCAGGTGTGGTTCTGGCTCCTGATTCTGGACAATAATCCTATGAGGTGGTCACTGGGTTAGGCACACTTCCTGGATGGAAACACTGAGGCAGAGAGGTGAAGGCATTTGCTCAAGATCATACCACTCACTAGCAAGAGGCAAAGCTGAGGGTGGGGAAGGTAGAACTCAGTGGTGGAGCACACACTTAGCAGCATGGGATCCTGGGTTCAGCCTGCCATACCTCCATTTAAAATAAATAAATAAACCTAATTATGCCCCCCCAATGAAAAAAAATAGAGGCAGAGCTGGGATTTGAAGCCAAGTGATTTGAATCTCCTGCTGTTGCTGTTCCTCAACACCCGTGCACACATGGATCACCACCCCCTTCCTTATCCTTGAACACACAGCATCACATTGGAAACCCACCATTCCAGAGCAGCTGTGTAGGCACCCCAATTCCACAGTCTAGTTGCACCATCATGCCTTGTGTTTACACGCTACCACAGTGCACTCCCTGAGACCAATTCTTTCCTTCCCTTTTTTTCTTCTTTTCTTGATTCCACCCCCGGCCCCCACCCACTGGGTCCTGTGCCCTCTCACTGTGCATTTACCCAGTAATCAGTAACAGTCTTTGTCAGGCTCTACCTTTGCCCCCGGGGACACAGATCCAGGCCAGCTGGAAGTTGACACTGGAGGAAACCACATATGGTTTAGGGAGTAGTCAGTTGGGAACCCAGAGAGGAGATGGGTTTTGCTGGGGAAAATCAAGGTACACTTCCTGGAGGAGGTGCCTGCTCACTGGGTCTCCCAGGGGGAAGAGGAGTGCTCCCCCCTCCAACTGCTTCCTGCCCAGTCCCTCCTGTGAGCCGTATGATGGTGACGGTGAGGATTCAGACTCTTCCCCTAGAGGCGAGGGAAACCAGGGCCCACGCTTACCTCGGGGAGACCGCGGAGCACGGAGGTGCGACTCCACGGAACGTGGGGTGCTAGTGAACACTCCATAGTGGGCGGGTCCGCCTGGCTCAGATGTCCCGACCACAGCAACACGTCATGGCGCTCCCTGTCTGTGGCCTGAGCCTTCCCCGGGCTGCCAGGCCTTGTTTCCCCTCCCTGGAGGGGGTGTATTGAGATCTGCTAAGCCCCTTGGGGTCCAGAGGAATTCAGAAGAGTTGCTGTGAGCCCTTGGCTAAGGGACTGTAACTTTTGGAGTCCTAGTTTTTTGCATCCACATCCTGGAGTTGTAGAAAGGTTCCCTGATCCAGCTCACCTTTAAAGAGCATTTGCCACGTGTCTGGCACTGCTCACAGCAAGCTCTCAACCCCACTCGGAGATCTACTCTTATTCCCACTTAACAGATGGAAAAAATTAGGCTCAGAGAGGTGAAGCAGCTTTCTCCAGATCACACAGCAAGAGCTTTTGAGAGCTGAAATTCAAGACACTAGAGCAGGGGCAGCACACTTTCCTCTAAAAGGGACCAGAGAAAGTAAATATTTGGTGCTTTGTGAGCCAGACCGTCTCTGTTGTAACTACACCACTCTGCCAGAGCCTTTCAAAAGCCACCATGCACAATGCGGAAACGAATGAGCATGGCTGGCTGCCGAGAACATTTTGATTGGTGAACGCTGAAATTTGAATGTCATATCATCTGCACATGTCAGGAAATAGTCGTCCTGTGACTTTTCCCAGCTGCTTCAAAATGAAAGCAACCAAACAAAAAATTCGTAGTCGGTGGACTGTGGTTGACCGCTAGAGCCTAGGCTGGTCACTGACAGTCTATACTTCATTCATTCATATCTTCATTCATTCATTCAGTATTATCCAGGCCTGCAGTTTTCTAGGTCCTGGAGGAAGGATGGGGACAGGGCAGAGGAAGACGCTCCTCTTTGGGAGAGAACACTTTTGTGGGGGAAACAACTGTAAGCAAGTAAACAAACAAACCAAAGTATTTCACGTGGTGGAAACTGCTAGAAAGGAAATTTCATGGGGTGATGTAACCCGGGGCCCAAGAGAGAGGCACTTTCATTTGGGTTGTCTGAGATGGTGACTTCTGAGTCTTATCAATTCCTCTTTTTGTCAGCTCAGGCAATCCTTGGCTGGGGCCTGCTGTGGGGGAGGGTTCAATAGTACAGACAGACCCTCGCCCGTGGGCTTCTCGGCAGAGCGATGGTAGCGGGGGAGGAGGGGAGGGCTCTGTGGCCTGGTATCTTTACATCTATCTTCCTGGCTGGCCAGATTGCTCCGGGAAGGGCTTCTCCCATCATCCCACTATCTCAAATCTTTCAGGTCCTGGCTGCCAAGTGGGCGAGGGTTGAGGTGGGGGAAGTTTCAACTCCTGCATTCAAGTTCACACGTCTGCTTTACACATGCTGCTAGCATGATTCTTCTACCTTTAGCTGCGTTCCCTCCCTCCGGAAACTCTGCCATTTCCGTTGTCTGGAGGAAAAAAATACCCAAACCCCCAAAACGGCTGCGTTTCCGCCCTGATGCGGGGAAGAGCTAGTATCTTTTTTGGGAATTTACTTTCAATCAACCCTTCCATTTGTGCTGTCACCCACCAACTCTTTCAGAGTTGGCTGGGGTCACCAGTAACTGAGGCTTGGGACACTGCGGTGATGGTGGCATTTTGTGAGGGAAATTATAGCTGGCATTCCAAAATGCCTTGATGGCTTACAACTTGGCTTTAGGTCTTAAAACAGTTGCTTAACTCTCACTGCAGGGCGGTTTCAGGAGGGTGTAAAAAAAGTATAGGCCAGAGCTGAATTCATCCTCTTTACTCAGAGAGACAGCTGGAAGTGAGCTGGGAACGACTGGCGACGGGTCTCGGGAAAGAACATTCCAGCAGAGGGGCAGGAGTTATGAAGAAGCAACCTCGGTCCAATGCAGTGGGTCCTCCAACTTGGGCAAGCGTCAGAATCTTCTGGAAGGCCCGTTCCAAGACGGATTATTGCAGGGCTCCGGCTCCCGCTCCCGGAGCGTCAGTAGGTCTAGGCTGGGGGTGCTAGAATTTGCAGAGCCAACAAACCCCCAGGTGATGCTATGGTTGCTGGTTTGGGTATCACACCGTATAAACCGCTGGTATAACGGAAGTGTTGAGCACCTGAGCTTCAACGCATTACAGTTATTGTTTTCTTCTCATAATTCCCCAGAGAGGCCTAATACGAGACTGAATACGGGGCTCACATCCGATACCTTGTTCAGCTGAATCAACACCCTCCTCCGCACCCCGCCCAATTTCCTGGGCCGCTGGCCGCTGGCTGGGATCAATTCCCCTGCCCGGTCCACCTCCCATTTTCTACGGGGAGAGTGAGGTCCTGAGAAGCTTAGAGAGCTGGCTGGTCTGGGCAGAGCAGGGCTTCTGTGGGGGCCCAGGACTTTTCTAGACCTGCCATCCATCTCTCATTCCAGGGTTGCTTCCTCTTTTGGGGCCGAGTTTTGGCCGCTTCTCTGCTCCTCCTCCCGCCCCCGCCTACACCACGGGAGAGCGAACGGGAAATTTGAGTTTCCTCCGCCTTTCTCAAGACTGTCCCTTTCCTACAAGGGGAATTTCTCCACCTGGACTCTCCAGCCTTCTGCTTGTGGGGTCCAGGGGGCCCCTGACGGGAAGCGTCTAAGACGGTGGGTGGGTGGGGGCAGGCCAGGGAAGGCCCAGGGGTCCCGGAAGGAGAGGGAGGGTAGGGCAGGGATGAGCTTGGCACTCAGGGTTCCCCTGGGGTGGGGGGCTCATGCTCCAGAGGAGAAGGGGGCTGAGGCCTGGCTGTCCTCTGGCCCCACTGAAGGAGTGCTCGGTTTAGGGGATCCCTGGGGGAGCCGCAGCGCTGGGGACTAGGGAGTGATAAGAAATTGGGGAAAGAGGCAAAGCGACAGAGAAGCAGAGAGGCACAGAGAGATAACCAGGGAGACACAAGGAGAGATAACTAGGGAGAAAGAGGATTCAGCGAGGGAGAGCTTGGAGGGCGAGGGACAGAAAAAGAGATGGAGAGAGAGAGATCCAGGGAAGAGAAAGCGAGGGAAAGTTCGGACAGAGGGTGGAAGGTGCGGGGGGGGGGCGGGCGGGAACCACCCTACTGGGCGGATCCCTGGGATCCCCACCGGCCACTCCCCCCGAAAAGCGGGGGCTTTCCGGCCTCGGGTATAAAGCTCGGCGCGCGGGACCCGGGCCGCAGCCGCCCGCCGCCGGCCATGCGCTCCAGCACCGACGC